GTATTGTAAAATAATTTTTTTATGTGTTTCACACCGTGTGTAAAATCAGTTGTGTAACATCAACGTTTCCTCCTGTTATATAGGCCACGAATGAATAAAGTAGAACCTATTTAAAAATATTTATTTTAACTTTAATTGCTAATAAAATATTAATAGTAAAAAAAAAATTGTTAAATCATATTATCGTCATTTTTTTTTTATATTCGTAAATAGTATCACTTTTTACTAATACTGCCAATGTGAAATAATCATGCGTGTGTCACGAAAATGGGATGCATTATTTTTGCCAAAGATCCGATGACTTATTCTGTACTACGTAAACACATATAAATGTAAATTTCTTTGTTTTTGCATCTTGTGAAATGTTAGAATTAATTGATAATCAAATCGCAAAAAAAAAAAGAACCGTACAACTCCCCAAAAGGATACAAGATAAGGACCATAGGTCGGGCTCGTCGTATTAGCTCATCCACCGTCTCCCGTATCAAAAAAAAGTGGTTAGTAAATCGCACGCTTGAAGATTTAGGAAGGGTTGGTCGCCCACCTTACTGGGTGAACTAACCCAAAGGAAGATTGTAAATTTGATTACTTCCCGTCGCTGCTCTATTGCTGTGCAGATGATCTCCCACCTGAAAGAAAAGGAAAATCTTGAAGTTTCGGCTTCTACTATTCGTCGTATACTCCGGGAGCATGGTTTGGTGTCGGGATCAAAAGAAAAAAGCCCCCTGAGCGCTGGTTATTAAAAAAAATGACTCGAATTTGCAAAAAAAAATACGAAAATTGGTCTGCCTAGTGATTGGCGTCGTAATCATGTGATGCTAATTGTCACATGGTCAATATATAAAAATCAACAATCTAATTTTTGATTTTTATATACGGAAAGTCTACGGACACGTACAGATCACGTGATATTTCATCTTACAGACACGTACCAAATAATAATTTTTTGATTTAAAAAGCGATCCGGTAAGGCTTTTGTACTAAGTTAACCTCCTTAATCATTCTAATAAAACCTGCTCTCCTGGTCTTTCCGGTTCTAATGGTAGTGAGATTATCAAAATTTGCTCAGTAGAACCAGGGATGTGACCTTTCAAAATTGGGCAACGTTCTAAAGATTATATAAAAACGTCGCATAAACTTCATGAGGCCGGTTCTAGTGAGTTGATTTTTAATGATCTCACCATAATTGAAACCGAAAAGACCTGGAGAATAAGTTTTGTTAGGACGACAAAGAAGATTAACCTATTATAAAAGCTCAGTCGAATCACTTTTTAATTTAAAAAAGAAAAAATATAAGAAAAAGATGACCAGAAGACTTTCGAATCACTTTTTAATTTAAAAAAGAAAAAATATAAGAAAAAGATGACCAGAAGACTTTCGAACTAAGTTAACCTCTTTTATCACTCTAAGTAACCTTATTTCTCTTTTTTTTGGTTCAAATGGTAGTAATATTATTAAAATTAGTCCAATATAACTGGAGATATAGTCTTCTGAAGTTTATGCGGCATTTTTATATAATCTTTAGAACGTTGCCCAATTTTGAAAGGTCATATCTTCGGTTCTACTGGACAGATTTTAATAATCTTCCACCATTAGAACTGGAAAGACCAGGAGAACAAGTTTTATTAGAATGATTAAGGATGGTTAACTTAGTACAAAAGCCTTACCAGATCGCTTTTTAAATCAAAAAATTATTATTATGGTACGTGTCCGTAAGATGAAATATCACGTGATCTGTACGTGTCCGTAGACTAGGGTGTTCAGGATTATGCGAAAGCATAATATGCGCATAATTTACCAAATTTTTGCATCGCATATGCTTCGCATAATTAAGGAAAAAAAAGCATAAAATGCACGTGGCCGAGATATGATTAGTTGAAGAGGTGATTGACAGGTGAAAACTTCGAAGACTTCCGATGCAGAAAGTTCGAAATATTCTGAAGATTTCGCATAATCTAAATAAGAAATCGCATAATTCACATCCATCGCATAATTTACTCTATCGCATCGCATAATTTACCCTATCGCATCGCATAATCCTGGACACCCTACCGTAGACTTTCCGTTTATATATTATATCATGTGACAATTAGCATCACATGATTACGGCACAAATCGCAACTACCCCAGCATCGGTAATACGAATAGTTGTGATGTATGGTTTAGTAAAGTAGTGGTGTATGGTACTAAAATTGCAATTGTGTATACAAATAGCATACTATACTTAAATATATATATTTACACAAACGTGTATGCTAAAAAATTTAATATATGTTTGATGAATATGCAATATTTAAATTTAAAGCAATTAAGCATTTATTTATGACATTAGATATTTTATATTTTGCATCTACATTATATATATATCGAAATATTTTATGACTTAATTAATTATATCGATATAATTAATCAATTAGCAGAGTTTAACTCACGCTCTTTTTCAAGATTTGAAAGTTCAATTAAATGAACTTTTGCTTTTCTCTTCCACAAATCAAGTTCACATTCTTTTAAAGGCCCTATTTCACGTAATCTTTTATCAAATAAGCGTAAAGGTACTATAAATAATCTAATAATAATTAACTATATTTATTGCAAATAAATTATTTATTATACATATTACTAAATTTATTTTATAATTAGCCAAGGTTCAAACTAAAAAAGCAAATACAACAAAACCAAGAGCAAATAAAAAAAAAAAGGAATGCTTCTACAACAAAAAGGCAATAAACTCAAAAGACTGATACTGATTCTGAAGATACTAATGAAAGCAGTAATGATGAAAGCTCAAAATATGACAAGCTGGAGTATTTAGAACGAAAATTGGCATTAAAAGAATGTGAACTTGATTTGTGGAAGAGAAAAGCAAAAGTTCATTTAATTGAACTTTCAAATCTTGAAAAAGAGCGTGAGTTAAACTCTGCTAATTGATTAATTATATCGATATAATTAATTAAGTCATAAAATATTTCGATATATATATAATGTAGATGCAAAATATAAAATATCTAATGTCATAAATAAATGCTTAATTGCTTTAAATTTAAATATTGCATATTCATCAAACATATATTAAATTTTTTAGCATACACGTTTGTGTAAATATATATATTTAAGTATAGTATGCTATTTGTATACACAATTGCAATTTTAGTACCATACACCACTACTTTACTAAACCATACATCACAACTATTCGTATTACCGATGCTGGGGTAGTTGCGATTTGTGCCGTAATCATGTGATGCTAATTGTCACATGATATAATATATAAACGGAAAGTCTACGGTAGGGTGTCCAGGATTATGCGATGCGATAGGGTAAATTATGCGATGCGATAGAGTAAATTATGCGATGGATGTGAATTATGCGATTTCTTATTTAGATTATGCGAAATCTTCAGAATATTTCGAACTTTCTGCATCGGAAGTCTTCGAAGTTTTCACCTGTCAATCACCTCTTCAACTAATCATATCTCGGCCACGTGCATTTTATGCTTTTTTTTCCTTAATTATGCGAAGCATATGCGATGCAAAAATTTGGTAAATTATGCGCATATTATGCTTTCGCATAATCCTGAACACCCTAGTCTACGGACACGTACAGATCACGTGATATTTCATCTTACGGACACGTACCATAATAATAATTTTTTGATTTAAAAAGCGATCTGGTAAGGCTTTTGTACTAAGTTAACCATCCTTAATCATTCTAATAAAACTTGTTCTCCTGGTCTTTCCAGTTCTAATGGTGGAAGATTATTAAAATCTGTCCAGTAGAACCGAAGATATGACCTTTCAAAATTGGGCAACGTTCTAAAGATTATATAAAAATGCCGCATAAACTTCAGAAGACTATATCTCCAGTTATATTGGACTAATTTTAATAATATTACTACCATTTGAACCAAAAAAAAGAGAAATAAGGTTACTTAGAGTGATAAAAGAGGTTAACTTAGTTCGAAAGTCTTCTGGTCATCTTTTTCTTATATTTTTTCTTTTTTAAATTAAAAAGTGATTCGAAAGTCTTCTGGTCATCTTTTTCTTATATTTTTTCTTTTTTAAATTAAAAAGTGATTCGACTGAGCTTTTATAATAGGTTAATCTTCTTTGTCGTCCTAACAAAACTTATTCTCCAGGTCTTTTCGGTTTCAATTATGGTGAGATCATTAAAAATCAACTCACTAGAACCGGCCTCATGAAGTTTATGCGACGTTTTTATATAATCTTTAGAACGTTGCCCAATTTTGAAAGGTCACATCCCTGGTTCTACTGAGCAAATTTTGATAATCTCACTACCATTAGAACCGGAAAGACCAGGAGAGCAGGTTTTATTAGAATGATTAAGGAGGTTAACTTAGTACAAAAGCCTTACCGGATCGCTTTTTAAATCAAAAAATTATTATTTGGTACGTGTCTGTAAGATGAAATATCACGTGATCTGTACGTGTCCGTAGACTTTCCGTATATAAAAATCAAAAATTAGATTGTTGATTTTTATATATTGACCATGTGACAATTAGCATCACATGATTACGACGCCAATCACTAGGCAGACCAATTTTCGTATTTTTTTTTGCAAATTCGAGTCATTTTTTTTAATAACCAGCGCTCAGGGGGCTTTTTTCTTTTGATCCCGACACCAAACCATGCTCCCGGAGTATACGACGAATAGTAGAAGCCGAAACTTCAAGATTTTCCTTTTCTTTCAGGTGGGAGATCATCTGCACAGCAATAGAGCAGCGACGGGAAGTAATCAAATTTACAATCTTCCTTTGGGTTAGTTCACCCAGTAAGGTGGGCGACCAACCCTTCCTAAATCTTCAAGCGTGCGATTTACTAACCACTTTTTTTTGATACGGGAGACGGTGGATGAGCTAATACGACGAGCCCGACCTATGGTCCTTATCTTGTATCCTTTTGGGGAGTTGTACGGTTCTTTTTTTTTTTGCGATTTGATTATCAATTAATTCTAACATTTCACAAGATGCAAAAACAAAGAAATTTACATTTATATGTGTTTACGTAGTACAGAATAAGTCATCGGATCTTTGGCAAAAATAATGCATCCCATTTTCGTGACACACGCATGATTATTTCACATTGGCAGTATTAGTAAAAAGTGATACTATTTACGAATATAAAAAAAAAATGACGATAATATGATTTAACAATTTTTTTTTTACTATTAATATTTTATTAGCAATTAAAGTTAAAATAAATATTTTTAAATAGGTTCTACTTTATTCATTCGTGGCCTATATAACAGGAGGAAACGTTGATGTTACACAACTGATTTTACACACGGTGTGAAACACATAAAAAAATTATTTTACAATAC